GGCGGCGGCCGTGGCCAGGAACCTGGCGGCGGCGCCGTGCAGCGTGGCGCCGGCGGTTACGCCTCCCGGCCGGCGGGCGGCGCTGTGGCCCCACCCCCGAACGCGGGTCCCGGAGGCCTGCGGCTGCGCGTCCCGGCACCCTGCCCAGCCCCAGAGCGTGGCCAGCGCCTCCTGGACCCCAGCCGGCGCTGCGGCTGACACGTGGCGGCCCCGACCCCGGAGCCCAGCCCGGCTCCTTTCCGAAGCGACTCCCAGAAACAAACCGCGCCGGGCTGCTTGGGAAGCCCATGTTTGCAGCCGTGCTGGACTCTCCGTTTTTTCTCCGAATTCCACCATGCCGCGCGACTATGGAGTCATCGGACGAGAATGCCAAGAGTCTTCTGAACACAGGAATTTTCCCAGCCTGAGGTTTCTTTTCCCAGATCTCAGGGAGAGACCTTGATAAAGGACTGTGTGTCCGGGAGGCACACGTGGCCACCGAGTCTCGAAACGTGGCTAGTTCAAGTTGAGAAAGCCTGAAAGCGTGAATTACGCATCGGGTTTAGAAGACTGGGAACCAAAAAAAAAAAAAGGATGTTAACGCTCTCATCAGTCGTTGGAAATTTTATCACTGGTTACATATTGAAACGATAATATTTTGGAGATGTTGGACTATACAAAATACAAAATGTCTAATTGCTACTACTGGTACCTATTTTTTAAAGTAATTACTAGAAAATGTAAGATTATATTTCTGGCTCCCATTTGCAATTCACCTTATCTTTCTGTTGGGTCCTGTGACTCTGGCATTCAAGTTAATCCCTTTTTTTTTTCTTAGAGTCAGGGCCTCTGTCGTCCAGGCTGGAGTGCAGTGGCACAAATCACGCCTCACCACAGACTTGACCTCCTGGGCTCAGGCAATCCTTCTTCCTTACCTGGGACCACAGGTGGGTGTCACCAAACCTGGCTAATTTTTTTTTTTTTTTTTTTGTAGAGAGGATACCTTGCTATGTAGCCTAAGCTGGTCTCAAATTCCTGGGTTCAAGTAATCCTTTGCCTCAGCCTCCCAAAGTGCTGGGATGAGCTCAAGTTGATTCTTAACTTGGCTTACCCACGCTGAATAAACTGTAGTAGCCAGAGACCATAGCTTTCATCTCTGGGTCTCTCCAGAACCAGTACTGTGCCTGGCAGGCAGTAAGCACCACATTCTTTGAGATGAAATTAAATATCTCCCCAGCATAATCTTAAACTTTACAAAAAGCAAGGGAATGTATTTCTTACATTGAGCTCACTTTGGGAGTGGTACAACTGTAAGACCCTGTTTCGGCTTGAAAGATTTTAGGTCTGGAAAAACACTCAACACCCTCCTACTTTTATTGGTTTTTTTGCCCCTCTGTGGTCTGGATATCTGCTAAGGAATGCTGTGGAGATGAAGTATTCAGAGTGCCTTGAAGAAATGATGCAAGAAAATACCCATGATTATCACAAAAGGGTCAGTCCCTCGCAAACACTGAATGCCTTTTGGCAAAGCCATTTCAGATCCTTAAATACCTTAGTACCAGGTCGACTTAACTCTTCATGATTTGGCCAGTCATGCGTGGGAATTAGTAGGAAAGAGAAGCCTTTGGAGCGTTCTAATCCCATTTCCCTCCAACCCATTACCAGTCCTGGTCATTCCTCTCCATTTCCCCTGGCACCAGCTGGTCTCTAAACTAAGAACAAGCACATGCGTGTATGTATTCAACTTCCTGAACTTGTCAAAACCTCAGTCTGCAAGGAAGCTGAATATATGTTGGCTTTGCTGTGCCTTAGAGATTTTTTTCCGACAACCCTAGTTCCTTCCATGAAAGCTCACTGGCATCACCAGGCATCTTCAGAAAATGGAGCCACCTTGCCAGAAAGAAACACTCTACTTCTCCCCTAGCTTTCCAGTTTCAGAGGTCTCTTTCAGAACGTTTCTCTAAACCCACCCACTACCCTCCTATGCAAACCCTGTTTCAAAATGCCTTGAATTTGGTGGGCATGGTCCTTTATTTGGATACATGAATTCTTAGCACTTTCTTCCAGATCAAACACTTCCAAGTCAGAGCAGATCTTTCTTTCTTTCTTTCTTTCTTTCTTTCTTTCTTTCTTTCTTTCTTTCTTTCTTCTTCCTTCCTTCCTTCCTTCCTTCCTTCCTTCCTTCCTTCCTTCCTTTCTTTCTTTTTCTTTTTACTTTTTTCAAGGCAGGATCTCATGCTGTCACCCAGGCTGGAGTGCAGTGGCGCAGTCATAACTCATGGCACCCTTGAACTCCTGGGCTCAAGCAATCCTCCCACCTCAGCCTCTTGAGTGTCTAGGACTACGTGGGCAAGCCACCATGCTCTGCATATTTTTTAATTTTTGTAGAAATGGGGTCATGCTATATTGCCCAGGTTCAGACCTTATTTTTCCCACATGTTGAGGAAAGACTATATGAGTAAAATGAAGCAGAGTGAGCACACACATTTGGTCCAGAGGTTATGTCCAGTCCCCTCAGAATGACCGAGGATTTCTAGCCATCTTTCAACAAAATGATCCCCTTTACACTGATATTTTGTCTGAGAAGGAGCAAAAGTGAAAAATATCAGGGTTGCTCAGACCCTGGAGTTAATTTCTATCCTGTAGAGTATTCCTACGAGCTACAAAGACAGGAAAGGAAAGAAAAAAAAAAACTACAAGAAGCGCAAAGGAAGAAAACTAAAGGATGATCTTCAAATGATCGTCAGAAAATGATGACCAGTATTGGGCATCTTCCATAAAGATCAAACAAGAAAAAAAGAATCAGAGAGGGCCAGGTGTAGTGGCTCATGCCTGTAATCCCAGCACTTTGGGAAGCCAACAGAGAAGTATTGTTTGAGCCCAGGAGTTCAAGACCAGCCTGGGCAATGTAGCAAAACCTTGTCTCTACAAAAATAAAAATAAGAAAATTAGCAGGACATGATGGCATGCACCTGGAGTCCCAACTACTTGAGATTTTGAGGCGGAAGTATACCCTGAGCCCAGGAAGTCAAGGCTGCCGTGAGCCATCTCATTGTGATCATGCCACTGCACTCCAGCCTGGGCCACAGAATAAGAACCTGACGCAAAAAAAAAGAAAGAACCGGGCTCGGTGGCTCAGCCTGTAATCCCGCGCCTTTAGGTGGCTGAGGTGAGTGGATTTCCTGAGCCCGCGGGTTCGAGACCCGCCTGGGCAGCGAGACCTCATCTCTACAATAAATCAAAAAATCAGCCGGGCGTGGTAGCGCGCGCCTGTAATTCCGGCTACTCGGAAGGCTGAGGCAGAAGGATCACCGTAGCCCAGCAGGTCGAGGCTGCGGTGGCCGGGAGCGGCCACTGTACTCCAGTCTGGATGACAAAGTGAGACTCCAACCCAAAAAAAAAAAAAAAAAGAAAGAAAGAAAGAATCAGAGAGGCTCAATGGATTTAGGTTAGCTTATGTTAGGTTTGGTTACCTAAAAAAAATAAAAGGATGGAATCTGCCTTTATGGAATTCTAAAAAACAATCCTTCCAGAATGTGTCTGATATAGTTTGGATGTTTGTCCCCTCCAAATCTTATGTTGAAATGTGATCCTCACCTACAGGGAGGTGATTGGATCATGGGGATGGATCCCTCATGGATGGCTTGGTGGTGTTCTCAGGTAGTGAGTGAGTTCTTGTATTCACGCAAGAGCTGGTTGTTTTAAAAGAGACACTTCCTTCTTCGTCTCGTTCCAGTTCTTGCAATAAGACATGCCTGTTCCCCTTGCCTTTCACCACTAGTAAAAGCCTCCTGGGACTCACTAGAAGCCAAGAAGATGCCAGCACCATGCAGAACCATGAGCCAGTAAATCTCTTTTTTTTAACATACTCAGCCTAGTATTCCTTTATAGCAATGCAAAATGGACTGACACAATATCCAACTCCAAACAGTGATCACATGACCTTAAAAGTTAACAGCCCTTAAAAAAGGGGGGCACATAACATCAATAAGGGTACCTGATCTGAAACCAGGCAAAGTGGGGACCAAATATACCTCTTCGATGACTATTTGTATACCTAATCCTGAATTGTAACCCACATCTTTAAAATAAAAAAATTTAAAAAGTTAACGGTCCTGGTATTTTATGCTTTGTTCTCCTTAGACGAAATTGCCTAAACTCTTCTGAGTTTTTTGCATAACTGGGAACTTCATGAAGACAGGGATCATTTCCTGGCTTAAGTTCTTAATTCCTCATATACCTAGTTCAGAAGTCATAATCCTTCACTGAGGGCCTCCAGCACAGCAGACTGAGAGGAAGCATTGGTTCAAGTCCAGCTAAACTGCCCCTGTTCCCTCACCACTGCAACCACATCACTTAACCTCACGGTACCTCATTTTTCTCATCTTTAGTGGCGGTTACATAACACAGAGGCCCCCACAGACTGGTACCAGACCATGGTCTGTCAGGAACTGGGCCACACTGCACAAGGTGAGTGGCAGGCAAGCGAGAGCAGCTTTGTCTGTATTACAGTCGCTTGCCATCACTGGGATTACCGCCTGAGCTCTGCCTTCTGTCAGATCAGCAGTGGCATTAGAGTCTCATAGGAGTGTGAACCTATTGTGAACTGTGCATGTGAGGGATCTAGGTTGCATGCTCCTTATGAGAATCTAATGCCTGATGATCTGAGGCATTAGACCATCATAAATCAATTGCTTGCAATGCTTGTAGATTCATATCAAAAATATCAGTGAGTGACAAGTGAGTTGAGGTACTTCAATTGTATAGTTGCATCTGGTGGCAGGCTTACATAATAAGGCCAAATAGTGGGTGCTGGAGGTATAGCACTGAACCGGTTCTCATTCACTGGGAGAAAGGAGATACCACATTTAGAGGGGCTTTCCTTGGAAGCTTGTCACAGGCCTTCTCCTAGACCTGGGATGAGGCCAGAAAGCAAAGTATCGTTCTTCAGCAAACATGGTGAGGCAGGCTAGGTTACCTAATGTCCAACAAACATCCAGGAGAACAAAGGATATGCTCCATTTGAGGAAACTTTCATTTATTACTCAAGTCATAGGCATTTACAAAACAAAATGGAGACATCCAGTAGGAGTCCAGGCAGGTTACAGTCTAATGCACACGAGAACCCCCGTGCACTGGCAATGTGCGACATTGTCTCCTTGCAGAAGCGCTGCATACAGACAAGGTGCATTTGTTCATTCAAGAGATAGAGAGATTTGCCAGGAGAGGAAAACCACACAGGCCCTGAGTCAAGTACTCTGCCCGCCCCACCTCCACCTTAGCTTCCTGAACATCTAAGGTCCACATTCAGCAGTGGCTTCCATTTGGCAAGACGGTTCTCCACTCTCTCATCACCCTATTGACCCCCTTGACCAAGAGATCAAGGGAAACTTCTGCCAGTACGCCTCTGCCCTGCTGACTGCTTCATCTGGCCCCTGTGTCTTTTCAGGCCCTTCCTCCTCTTCCCCCGGGGGCCTGGGGACCCCACCCTGGCTTTCTTCTTTGTACCAGGACCTTGAAAGTTTTTCTTGCTGCTTGTGGGAGAAGCCAGCTTCTTGGAGGAGCCTTGCTGAGACAAAGCCAGGCCTGGGCCAGAAGCCAAAGTTGCATTGGACAATTTTCTAGCCGCTTTCTCTGATTGCTCCTTCAGCAAGTCCAGGACTGTCTCTGAGAAATAAGCATTTAGTGAGAAATATAAGTTCTGGAAAGTAGCACTACCTGGAAACTTATAACTGCACGAGTGTTCTTGAATACAAATTCAGTCTATTAATATTGTTTAATTGCCTTAACTGGCCTTGATCTAAATATATTACTTTTTAAAAGGATCACTCCCATGATATATGGTTCTAGAATAGTTTCCTTAAAATAGAATCCCTCCTCTATCAGTCTTAGGTCCTGACTCCCCACTCTACCCCGAGGAGGAACTCCTGACTCTGAGAGACCCCTACCCCCACCCCACAGCGTCCAGAATATCCTTCTGTACTAGAAGCTCAGTGCCATATTTATTTCTTCATTTGCCGGCACTACCCACCCTCCCTCCCTTTTGAACTTCCATAGGTCAGAGACTTAGCGTACACTGTTGTATCCCCAGGACGTAGCACAGTGCCTGCCACAAAGTAAGTAAGTACCAGGTGGATAATGCCAGATGAATGAATGCATGAATGATTCGATGAATGAAGGAACAAACGAATGAATGACTAAAGGAAATGTGACTAAAGGAAACTAGTCACAGTAGAAGCAGGTGTCCTTCCCTTTAAATCTATTGTGCAGAAGAGAGGCCTAGACTGACCCACAAGTAATCTTCTTTTGAAAGACAACCCCTTAGGGAGAAACTAACACGCTCCACCCTGGGGACTGAAGTGCGTTTGCCAAGGCCTGAGCCTAAGATTTAAAGACGCGGACTCACTGGTGAGTGGCCTGAACTGGATCCTCTTACTCTTGGTTTTCACCCGCACTGACTTGTATTTGCACTTGCCTGGGGGCGCTCTCCTGAAAACATAGAAAGAAAGGGTGAGGACCCAAGACCCTGAAAATGCAACCTGAAAATTAAGGTCACCAGTAGGTAGACATTTCTAAGAACTGGAATCAGTCCCCATTTATCCTTGGGCATGGGGTAGACGTAATAGGAAATTTGCAATGAGCTCGGGAGAGGCGACAGGGCACAGACACCACAGGCCTCCTCAGACTTGAGAGACAGTACACTGAAGTTGTTAGGAGCATGGGCATGGCGCCAGTCAGAAATGGGTTCACGTCCTAGTGACCAGGGCAAGAAAACCTTACTAAGTCTCAACCTCCACATCGATAAAAAGGCCAAAGATAATAGTACCCATCTCTCAGGGAGATGGTGAAGATTAAGGGGGAGCTGTGTGCCTGATACACCATAAGTGATTGATAAGCAATGAGATTTTTTTTAAAACATTGGGAACAGTGCCCAGCACCTCACAAGAATTCAGCAGATGATGTCGATGATGCTATTGATGAGGAGGAGGATGGTTATTCTGCTGCTGCCTTGAATGGTGGTTGTGGTGATTTTCTTTAAAGAAAATTTCTTCAAGAACTCACAACCCTTAAGTCATGCCAGCCTCCCTGCCTAGTACACTCATTGTTCAACGGCCTGTCCTCTGGGTGCATCTTCTGGAATACAAAGGACTGTGGAGACTGAAAGCACATCTGCTTTACAGGGCAGAGCTGGAACTTCCCAGCTAGTCTTCACAGCCTTCTCTGCCTTGCTCCAGCTCTGTCTCTTACTGCCATCACCCTCGCCCCAGGTGGGAAAAAAAATTAATTTTATTTATTAATAATATTCCTGTTCTGCCTGTGAGGATCAAGAATATGGCAGTCTGCAACCTGAAAAGGAACTCACACCACTGTTTTGGCACTCTGTGTCTTCCTTTCA